GGCTGGGAGCAGCCTGGCCTGGGAGGCTGCCTGCCCATGTCCCCACATCATCTCCCCTGGTTGTCACCTGAAGGCACATGGAGCCAACTGGGGGCACCCCTCTGGTTCTTGGAGACGTCAAAAAAACACCTGCTTAGGAAAAAAAAAAAAGGCATTTCCACAGACTGCTTACTAGGAAAAGGCAGCCCCAAAGGTCAGCCCCAGGGTGTTGTTCTACAAAGCAGCATGCAAAATCCACTCTGGGACAAACGTAAGGCATGTTTGTTACAGGAAAGGCTGCCCTCAGCTCTGATGGGCCGGGACGATCCTCAGGGATTTTATTCTGGGCAAAACACACGGTGTGACAGAAGGAACAGGCTGGGCTGCAGAATGGTTATTTCAAATTAACGCCAACTGAGAAATAATGAGCAGCAAGTTTACATTCTCAGTAAATTAAGAGAGAAGCTTAGGTAAACTGTGGCTTTATGTGCACGTAAATAAATTATTATTTACTTGGTTTTGTGCTCATGCCCTTAAATACAAAGATGCTCAAATGGAATTATTAATATTTATAGCACATTATAATAAATATCTGTAACAGCTTCACCTGAATATACGCTATTTCACCAAGGTAAAATCTGCTGAAGGTCAAAGCAATCTTTTACTTGTGTGTGGAGGGCAGGATCAGCCTCTTTACTTTGAAATCTGCATCAACTGCAATAATTTAAAGCTTTAATTAAAGACTGGGTGTCATATTATCTAGGAAACATCTTTGTGCTGCCCAGTATTTCATCAGGGATGGCTCCAGGAGCCCACACTAGAGTAAGCACATTGAGCAGGACGTACTTAGCTTTTATCTGCCTTAGTGTGTAACCAATGCTTTGGTCGAGGATTGGTGGCATCAAAAATTGAATTAAGAGCAAAAGCCAGGCCCCCAAATAGAAACATACAGCACTTATTCTGTTTATCCCTCAAGTAAATGAAAGTGCCAAGGCAAAGCCTAATATTTTAGCAATTTCGTTAATGTACGTGTAAATGGGCGAAGGCGCTTCTGAAATGCTCTGAAGAGAATTTCACACTTCAGAGAGGGGAAAGGAGTTAACAATTCTATTGTGGCTCTTATTAGAATTTTTAAATTAATTTCCCCGACACAGCTGTGCCATGGAATCCCCCACAACGACAAACTTTTTGCTAAAGCCGAGATTATTTTCGGGTACGATTCTGAAGGAGCAATTTGTGAAACGGAGCTGGGTGGGCTCCTGGGAATCCTGCCGCCCTCTGCTCTCCTCCAGCCCTTCCTCACACACTGTGAGCTTCATTTGAAACCACGTCTGGTTTTTATTCCACGCTGCTTTTTGCTTCTGCAGAGCAGCAAAAGGGGGAGGGATGTGCCAAAGGCCCATGGCTTCGCAAAATGCAGGGGGGGAAGAGATGAGCGATGATAAAGTAGGGATCCCTCCTATCATAGAATCCTAGAATCACAGAATGGCCTGGGTTGAAAAGGACCACAATGCTCATCTCATTTCAACCTGCTGCTATGTGCAGGATCACCAACAGGCAGACCAGGCTGCCCAGAGCCACATCCAGCCTGGTCTTGAATGCCTGCAGGGATGGGGCATCCACAGCCTCCTTGGGCAACCTGTTCCATTGCCTCACCACCCCTCTGAGTGAAAAACCTCCCCTGTCTCAGTTTAAGAGCATTCCCCCTTGTCCTATCGTTATCCACCCTCGTCCCTACAAACTCACTTAGGCCTTAACAACCATGTGCCATCATAATGAGAGCTGATTTATGGGGAGGAACAAGTGGAGGTTTGGAAACACAGAGTGTGGGGTCAGGGTGGTAAGAATGAAACCTGGACCCTAGGTGCAGGGGGATGGGAGTTGTGGGGGAGATTTCTGCTTGGAAAGGCTGCGGCATGAGCTGCAGGACCGCTTGCGGACAGAGAGATGGTGTAGCCCACGGCAGCCCTGAGCTGGGATCTAGCAGTGGGAGGCACAGTTTTGATCCTGTAGAGGAGGGAGTTAACAACAGCTGACACACTTTGGTCTGGAGCAGCCACAGCGCCTCGAAATAACGTCTCGGGGCCATAATTCTGCGCTCTGTCACTACCAGGAAACGTGAAAACCAGTGACCTTTCATCTCCGCGACAGAAATGCTGCGCAGCACCTGGAGCCATCGCCCTCACGATGCGCTCTGACAAACGGGGACACGGGAGCCCCGAAAATCACCTCCTGCTGAACTCTGCTCTGGGTCCCGTGCCAAGCAGAGCTGGCTTTGCGCGAGCTGCTTAGCGAGGCAAGAGACAACAGCTCGGTATTTCTTTTGACAATAAGGGATAAATCTGCTTTTCAGATTGCTCTTAAACGATGGCGGAGGGAGGGAAATTGATATTGGCTTTTTATGAATCTTCGGGTCAGGTACGTTCACATCAACAGATTTTTGCATTAACCTCGCTGCTTCGCAGCACTTTTGCCCTTGGCAAGACATAATTAAGAAAGGCACAAAAATCTATCTGAACGTATCAAGAGGAAATTATTCTCCACTTAATGGCAGCAACAGCTAAGCAAGCAGGCAGACCATGCTGCTAGCAGAGCGCAGCAAATGATGCAGGGCTCTGTTTTAACCCCAAACACCAAAATTTTAAGGATCAGCTTCTGAAATGAGGATTTGCACTACGTGTGGTTCCGGGGATTAACTTTTTCTTCCCCCCAACAGCTATATCCCTTGAGCTCTTCTCTTTGCCAGTCTAAAAGGATGACCGCAGACACTGAGGCTGAGCTAAAACCTTTTCATCACACCGAGACGTGGCACTGTAATGTCTTCACTGGTTTGGTAGGAAGCAAAAGCTAATAGATGGAAGGGGGGGAAAAGAAGACATTAAAGAAAAAGGGAGCTTGGTCATTTAAGTAGGACTGTCAGCTTGTGTTATCTTCATGCGTTTCTGAAACCGAACTTTAATTGACTGGCTGCAGTGGAGAGCCAAAAGATAAAATTGTGGTCTCAAGATGAGCAGACAGCTTAAAGTGTTGTGATCCTCATTCATTAGGATTTGTCAGAGGGTTTCAGAGGGGAAGAGATGCAGCCGTCTCTGTTATTCTTTCATATGAAGTTACCAAAATGTTAAGAGGGAGGTGGAGGGTGGGCTCTGCTCCTGAAGCCGCATCCAAGAAGAGCAACATGGAACAACAGAGACTATTTTGGCACCACCTTATTTCTGCCTCTTTGTGAATTATTTCATTCTGCTTCTGAAAGATAAAGTCCACAGCACCTCCATGCAGATACACCCCAAAGGATGACCACACCACCGCATTGCCTTCACTCACTGCAAGCCCTGGCCTCCCTGGCCCCAGAGACACCCAAGGTGCATAGGCTGCTTTTAAGAGAGTGCTAAAAAATACTTCCCTGCCTAAACCAGGTTTCAGAGAGCTTTCTATCTGTGTTTTCAACAGGAGAGGGAAGGGAGGAGTAGAGAAACTCAAGAAACTCATGGACAAAGCCCCAGCAATGAACCCCTTGGCATCTAGCTGAGGGTCCAACCTCTACCCTGTAACCTGGAGTTCTTCATTTGCTGGGGGAAATGGTCACGGTGGGGAAGGGTTGGTAGGGAAATGCAGCAGCTCCTGAACATCTATGAAGACATCTTTGGATGTGTACTTGTGAGAAGCCTGAGCAATGCTCACAGCTTGGATCTGTGGGATGTGAACCAGCATGGAACCCTGTCCGCAAAGGGAACACAGAGGTGGTCAGATACACACTAACGCTGTTCATTTGGGGTTAAATAAGCCTCTCCGTAAATGCTTGTCTGGTGACAGACACAGAGATGGCCACTGCAACTCCCAGGGCAAGGTGCCTCTCAACAGTCTTCTTCCAGTGCTGGAAACCTCACACCCCACCAAGATGGGCCATATCCCAAGATGTCAGATAGAGCTGGCTTAACATCTTCTCTCCAAAGTTCATCGATGGCAAACTAATGACATTTCCTATGGACATTTTTCTGCTTTTCAATAACAACATAAAATTCTAAATGAAAACCTTTTCCAAACTGCTCAGAATTTTTCCAATTCTTTAGGTAGGAATATTTTGGATTTCCAGTATTTTGCTTTTTCTCTATCTTAGAAGACCAGAAAATGTGCTGAAAATGTTATTTCTCTGTGAACATTTTCATTTGTGATCCAAAAGCAACCGTTACTCTTTCATTCTACAGCAGTGATGAGTATAGGGGGTAATACATAAGGATAGCAAATTCTAAACATGAGAAGACGAGCTGATGCAGCCACTTATATGTTAGGAAAGACATGAAAGGGTTTATGTGAAGCCAGCTCTCCTCTCGATCTGCCTTCGTATCTACATTAGGAGAAAGGTGCTTTTGCAGAAATGTGTCTAAGGGCTGTGGAATGGGACCAGAGAGACCTTCTTGGAAGCAGACTAATTTTCCAAAGAGGTACTTTCAGCCATCCCAAAGCCTTTCTTGGAAGTATTGCCAAATCCAAGACCAATTCATGAAACTGTTTCAGCAAGACAGTGAGGGCCAATGCTACACACACAGACTCCAGCACACAACTTACAGTGTTACTGGCTTGGCCAGAGTTTTAGCAGACCCAGAGGGAGTTCTGTCATTGATCTCAATGAGTTTTCCCCCCAGCCTTAAGTAATAATCACTGGCACTTTATGCAGGGACAAAGATTCTGCTCTTTCCTTGGATACTTGATGTCACGTGAGAGTAATCATGAGAAAAAAATAAAGCAATGGCATGAGATGACCATCGCCAACATCATGACTCAATCCTAAAAAGCCTTACTTAAGCCAGCCGTGCCACCAAAGTCAATGAGAAAACACATGAAGGGGAGCCTTGATTTTCAGAGCAGCTTTCTCGTACCTGACACTCACACAGAAGCAGAACTCACAGCCCCAGTGCCAGTCTGTGCCAATGCAAGCAAACCTCCTGGCGATGCATCGGTAATGACATTTAATGAAACGTTGCCTTTATATCTCTGTTAAAACCAATACAGTACTTTCTTACCATTTTTGCAGACCGGACAACACTGCTCTGGTTCATAGACCGGGTTGACACACTCGGGAACTGCGCAGTCTGCTACAACACAGTGAACTTCATTGCTGGGCTCGCAGCGACACCATTCGCATGGCGAGGGCTAGGAACAAATCTCAAATTAGCCCATTTCTTCCCGTAGCTCAAAAGTTTGCAACATTTCTATCTTGCCATAAGATAAACACATCAACGTTTAATACCTCTTGACTGCATTGGTTCATCATGGGAAATACAAATCAACCTGTAGGACAAAACAGCAATATCTGACATAGGCAACCAGAACATCAGGAAAAGCAGCAGGTGTGATGTTTTTCCTAGAGAGGGTGCATGTTTTTTTAATCTTTTGTCAGACTTGAATTTTCTTCAGTAGGAAGAACCAAGCAAAGGCCATCAGGTGAGATGGAGTGGCCCCTACGTGCTCACGTGACACACAGCACTGCTCTGTTTGTTATACAGGGTCTTTGGAAGACCACAAATGGTGGCTCTTCTCAGAAACAGACGGATCCAGAAGGACATGCTGATCTTCCAGGTCACACTCATTATCTCATGTAGACCACCACAGGCAGCAAACCCCGGGCTGTCAGTAAGATGCTGGCCCTTCTGTCCACCAGACCCTCTATGGGTTTGGCTTCCAGTTCTCAGAGCACGGGAAAATGGTGTTGGAGAAGCAAAAACATTCAATTCTGTGTTTGTGCAGCACCTGAGTCGAGGGTCTGCAAGCACTCCTATAACACAACCATCAGACCTGGCCCTGGCCCCACTTCTGCCTGTTTCAACAAGGTTGATGAGAGAGTGCTTTGCACTGAGCATGTGAATAATTAAGAGCCTGAATAACTGCTGAAGTCAGTGAATTTGGGATTAAAGCACCCAGCTAAGTGGCTTTGTTTAAGCTCCATCAATTCAAACAGGAATCTATATGCCTCCAAATGGTAGAGTTGTCACTGTCTCACTCTAAGAGAAGCTGTGAAAATCTGTTGAAAAACAGAAAGGTCAGTGTGCAAGGCTCCAGTGCCCTTACATGTCTGCAACTGCGATGAGACAGTGGCAACAGAGCTAAGAAAGGATCCAAAGGAACCTGAAAGGAACTAACTTCCTTTCGATACCTGGAGGTTCAACATCTAACACCCAGCTCCTCCAATGGTAGATCCACTTCAGCTAGTAAATGTGATGATGGAACAAATCCTGCTTTGCACTGCTGGGAATCTGCAGCAGTGGGATTTACTCCGCATCCAAAACAAGCAAGTGGATGCAAACGAAAAAAGGCATCATCCCCATGTGCTTCAAACCTCAGTGATGCATCACTCATGTCTACAAGACAGGCACAACCCCGTAAGCCCTGGTTCTGGCAGGTAAAAAGCTTTTCGCTTCACCTCTAAGAAGCTCCATATGTCTCACGTCAAATAATTTATTCCCTGGAAATTCATTTCTACCTTAAAACGCACTAATTAAAGCCTCCCTTGCTTTGTCTCAGCATCTGCAGTCTATAATTCCCATCACCTCTTATTTGCTCACGGCTTTGGCAATTTAGATAAAATCAGCACTCCTTGAGCAAGGGAAGAAGTCTGTGGAGGTGGAATTCCTCTCTCTAATTATCTTTCCTCATTCAATCCTGCTTTGATTTCTGTCTGAAGCACCAGGAATCTAAATTCATTTGACTGACGTTTCTTATTCAAGGCTATTTAATAAGAAGAAACAATGCAGAAGGAAATAGACAGGACTATTTGCTGAGGGATCAATAAGAAAATTGCTGCTTTGTTTTTACTCATTTTAATCGCTAATTATATGGAGCACTAGAAGTAGATCTTATGATTCGTGGAGGCTTTCAGTGATGTATTCTTCAGGGCTTGCTCCCACCTCTACTATTCCAGTAGCTGCAATTCTAAGAAATAATGTGGTGCATTTTCAGGACTGCAGCTCAATCTACTGCTTGAAGAGGATCAGCAGATGCAGAAGATGCCCCTGAACGACCGTGCTACTGAGTAAATGAGACATGACATACACATCTTTTGCTATTGTGTTGTCGGTGTAACTTGAAAATGACACTGTAATAAACCATGATGCTGCTTGACACTGAAAGCGGCTTTTCAGGAGGGAAGAACAGCATACAATTACAAGAATAAAAGCATGCCTTGGCAGTGCAAGGAGCAGGCAGCCTGCAAACAAAAAGGCTGCTCTGGCATGAATGGCAGGACTTTCTCAGCCACCACCTCTTCCCCACCTTACCAAGGTCAAACGACATGGTCTTGCCTCCAGGATCTCCCTCTGAGCACTTTGTTCATTCACTGGTGCCCCTGTACTGTGGCTCGCCCCCACAGACGACTCCAGCCTTCCCACCCACTTCCTTTATGAACATCACAGCACCTTCTCCCACTGGCTGTGCCTCGGGATCATTTCAAGGGATCTACCATGCAGCTCTGCCAATCCTCACAAGTTCCAGGATCTGGATTTAAAGATCTATCACCTGTGGAAGATGGATGGTTTATCTTTTTGTGTCTGCTGAAGTTCATCCACTAGTCAACACCAGTTCCTGAGAAGACGCACCCATCCCTGTTGAAAAACAAGGCTGAAAAACTATGGAAGGTTTCTAAAGTATGATAGAGAAAGGACACAAATCAGAGGCTGTGCCACATTCCCACATGGACAGTGAATGCACTTTGTCGTATCCCACGAGACGATGCTCTGGAAGAAGGTGCTAAGATTAAAGTATCATAAAAGGCTTGGGCTAGAAGATGATTTACACACTCCATCTGTCTGAGGCAAAACAATCTCTGAGAAGGGTTCTAGGGAAGGATTTGTTAAGAAGGATTTCAAGACATACTGGTGCAGAAACATTCCTCTCACCATTGTCCAAAACAAAAGGACGTCTACAGTCACAACAGACAGAACTGCGTGGCTCCTTACTTTTCCATGTGTATTCTGAGAAATGGACTTGCCATTAAAACCACAGGGTCAAACTGGTTGTTTCTGTCAAAGATGCCAGTACTGTTTTGTGACTTGGGAAAACTGGTGCAAAGCACCTCACAGCCTTTTGTACCCACTTTTCACTTATGTCAGGCACAGGGGCCAAGTCAAGCCACGATGGTTGTTGGCGGATATAACCAACATCTGGCCACCATCCCATGGCTTCTGGGAACAGAGGAAATGGGAAACCAAGCCCAAAAGACCTTCTCATTAACCCTGCTTGACCTCTTCTCCTACTGGTCACTTTAAGAAGACCAAAGAAGCACGAGGATGTTTACAAGCCACACCTCATGGCCCAACTTCCATTTCAGTTGCTGGACTACTGATCTCAAGGAAGGCCGTAACCCCAGGTCTGGGCTGCAGGAGGGAGGAGTGCTCAAGCTAACAGCACGGCTGGAGAACCTGAGTCTCAGGTGTTGTCAAATGGGAAACATCTGCAATCCACCAGGCTCATTAACAAAGAAAGAGGGAAGGAAAATTAAAAGAGAGGATAGAGAATATGCATGGCTAATAAAGATTTTATGTGTGTGAGCACATAATTATAAACTTGATAGATGATACAAACAAACAAATGGAAAAGGCAGCAAAGGAAACAGAATGAGAAACAAGTTACACTCTGAGCAGGGGAAATCAGGAAGCCACACTAGTGTGAATACCGTATCTCCTAAACTTAACTCTTGCTCCCCAACATTTTCACCTTCTCTAGGAGCAAATGCCAGCACACATGCCAGAATGATGCTTGCTAACATCCCCCAGCTACTCCTCACAGTGACAAGGGGTTCCCTTCCTTACAGCACTTGATCCTTCCCTAGCCCTTAGGTTTAATATGACCACAAACTTCATAGCTCTGAGAGCTCTACACTGGAGGGCTTGAGCCAGACAGATCACAAGATCAAGCAGTTCTTCAGCCTAAAACATGAATACTTCCCAGACTCTAAGGAGAAGTGGAGGAAAGAAAATGGATAAACAAATTCCCAGTGTCCTTGCACTCTCTGCCTATCGCACAATAGCCCTTCATTGATCACACGTAGCTACTGCCAAACAGCTACAGAGCAATACAAACTCCACGCCTATTATATCATAAATACTTGATCTTTGCTCTGAGGAAAGAAATACGAAGGCTTCGTGTGAGTGTTTACATCCATCTAACCACGTTACAATAGACACATACTGATCATCACACAGGGCTGGTCAAGTTGCTAGGACACTATTTCCACTTAATTCAACAGACCTGCAATTGGGCCCTCTGATGTTCTTCACAGTTAAATGGGTACCTTTACAGAATGCACAGAATAACTGGGAAATACGCTTGGTTGACTGGAGTAAGAAATGGCACAGAACAGAAGAAAACCCAGTGGAATTTCTTTCTGAGCCCCATGGTAACTCAAGGATCCATCACATCACAGCAAGCGCCAAGAAGGTGCCAAGACTGGGTATCACTGGGAACCTTCATCAAGCTTGTTAACCTTACTGAAAAGGAAATGGCACATTAGTATGTGCCTTTTTTAGATTATGCTGCCAAGGCAAAACCACTGTTCGTGGCAGTTTCACTGAACATAGAACTGCTATGCTTTGTTCCCTGTAAGAGTGTGCTAGAAAACGAAGTGCAAATGCCTTGAAAGGGTAGAAGCTGCCACCGTCTCCATTTCTGATGATGTCAAGGTGGTTTTGAATGCAATGGATCCAACCTGACACTTCTGCACACATTTGTCAGTACTTTGATCCACTAGTGGTATCCACACGCGCTGCACCTCCCTGGTAAGGACTGGATGTGTCCCATCCCTTCAGAGCACTGAGACACATGGCAGGAACCCCAAAGACCATCTTCACCACCACCAATCTCTCAATCTTTTAGGTTTTGAGACAGTTTGCACCCATGTTCATACAGCAATTGCACCCCCTCCCTCCTCAGATGGGCTCTACTGATGGCATCCTGCTCCGCGCTGATAGAACAGCAGGGGAAGCAGAGCAATGCAAAGTGAAGCCTGTCAAATTGGGCACTTACATCTTAAGAGCAGCTGTAACTTTTAATGACACGAAGGACAATAGCAATTCTGATGGATATGATTTTTGTAGCTACTTGCAGGCTGTGAATTTATTGGCAGGAAGCAAGTAAGGGAAGAAAGTGACAAAGAACCCGAT